TGAGCCTTTAATAAAACGATTAAAAAAAATAAAAATAAAAATAAATTTAAAAAAGGATAATGTTAAAAAAAAAGAAATAAAAAAACAGGAATGATATAGGAAGCAAAGCTATGGATAGAGGTATAAGCATAAGAGTGTACATATGTAAATACATTAATCCATAAAAATAAAGGTATTGGCCTATGTACATAAAAAAGACATTTAAATACATAGCTGTGAAAAGAATTCTGGTTTTTTGGGGGGGTACCTTCTCATATGTATATGTTTATTTTTTAATATAATTTGCATTTTGTTTTCCTTTTGAAATGGTTCTGCTCCTCAAACATCTTGTCATTTGACCAGTGAACCTGTTTTCCCTTGGCCTTGGGGGTTTTCTCCAGTGAGATAATGGAGAAACAGACCACAGATGTGTGGGAGACGGGGTGGGGGTGTGGCGTGGGATGTGTGGGACAGGGGTGCCTGGGAGGGAGAGCCCTCAGCACCAACTGATCATTTATGTTAGGAGGGAAGAGGTAGGAGGGTTAGTTAGTACCCACCTGCTTCTCTTCCTCATAAGTCCAGGATTTCTATGCTGGGATGATGGGGTTCCTGGGGACACAGGGACCAGGCTGCAGCCAGCCTGTCTCCTATGCAGTTCCCACCAAATACATGCCAGGGTAAAAATATCCTGTTCCCACTCCCTGCTGTAACTGCTAGTTTCCCTTTATTCTTTCCCTCTATAGAGCTTCATCATGGGGCTCAAACATAAGAACAATTGTGAGGATGGCATAGGACCGGGCAGTGTTTTGTCTCAGTCACACCGAAACGACAATAACAATAGATCTTCAAGGAGCCCTGGCGGCATAGTTCGTTAAGTGTTGGACTGCATGGTGCTGCAAACCCACCAGCTGAACTAAAGGGGTGCTCCCCTAAAGATGAACAGTCTCAGAATCCCAATCTTCACGGGCGACTGTACATAGGAAATGACTCCATGGCACTGGGTTGGGGTTTTGGTTAGGTCTTCAAACATCCCTGGGTGGTGCAAAGAATGTGCACTCCACGACTAACCTAAACATTTGCAGTTTGAACCCAAAAACCCTGTGGAAGAAAGACCCAGTGATTTGCTTTCAGAAATGTTACCTAAAAATAGCTAAGAAAACCCTCTACTCCGTGGCAATGAGTTTGGGATTGGGTCTAGAGTCCTTCAGGGACTTGGTCTTGCTACCTCAGAGTCTCTCTCTCTCTCTCTCTCTCTCTCTCTCTCTCCCTTAGTTCTTTGTTTTATTTTAAATCCAGCTAGTGTATGTATGTTTTCGGTATCTGACCATATTCCACTACTATTCATAAGGTTTTCAGTGGCTGATTTCTCAAAAGGGGACAGCCTACTCCTCTTCTTAGTCTGTTCTCAGTCTGGAAGCTCTGATGAGACCGGTTCACCTTGAATGACCCTGCTGGCATTTGAAATAACAGTGACATGGCTTCCAGCGTTACAGCAATAGGGAAGCCCTCACAGAATGACAAACTGACAGACAAGTAGTTCTGATGAAGACTATAGAAAGTACTATGGCCTACCCAAAGGACAAACACATCGGTCTTGGAAGAAGTACAGTCAGAATGCTTATTAGACGTGAGGATGGAGGGATTTGGCCTCATGTACTAGGGATATGTTATCAGGAGAGACCAGACTTTGAAAAGTGAAATCACACTTGGCAAGAAAGGCAGGGATAAAGAGGAAGATTTGTGATGATCTGCATTGACACAGGAGCTATAACAACGGGCTCAAACATAACAACTGTAAGGATGGCGAAGGAGCAGGCAGTGTTTCCTTCAGCTGCCTATAGGGTCGCTATGAGTCAGACGCAGCTCAGTGCAACAGGATATGTATGTTATTTCAAAAATTAGAATAGCTCTTAGAATGAAAAACAGGAGCCTCTCACTCCACCAATCTCTTCTTGCAAGAAGTGTCTTTAAATATATATGTTTTTGTAGCTCTCCTAGTGAGGACCTGTTCAACTTTTAAGACTATGTTAATTCTGTGAGTTCTATTCCTCATCACCATTCTTTGGATAGTTAATACATTCACATGGTTAAAAATGGGGAAAAAAGACATAGAAAGGTTTCTTTCTTCCTTGACCTCTATATATCCGTTTCCCCCTCAAATATAACCAAAAAACTAAACCCACTAACATCAAGTCAATTCTAACTCAGTGATCCTATAGGACATATTAGAACTGACCTGACCCTGAAGGAGCCCTACAGGACATAATAAAACTTCCCCACCAAGCCACTGGTGTATTCAAACCACAGCCCTTGCAGTTAGCACCTCAGTGCATAACCCATCTTACCACCAGAGCTCCTTAGAAGGTGTGATAGTCAGGTTTATTATGCCAATTAGGCCAATAGGAATGTGTGGGCAGAGTTTAATTAGGTCGCAGCTTGATTGGAGGATGAGATAAATGGCTCTGCAAGACCCACCCTCATTTCTCTTGCTGTCTGATGATTGGACCAGCATGCTGCTGCTTTAGCTAGTTCTCTGCCTCATCCTGTGTGCTACACTATGTGTGGGCCAAGCCAACCTGTGGATCATGTAGCTACAGCTTGAGGCTCCTTCTAGACCTGCTTTACCAGGATGCTGGTGCATATATCATTTGAGCTTGAGGCTGTTGGTTCCTGCCACCTTGCATTGCTTGAGTTCAATATCTCATCCAGGCCTGCTTCACTAAGCTCCCAAGCTACTGACTTGCTGACCCACCCTGCTGTTTGCTGCCTGCAAGCAGACTCTGCCTGCCTTGCCCAAGGGAGGAGTCTGCTGTCTGCTTCCTTGACCTTGGACCTGGCAGCCCACGTGATTCAAAGGCCTTCCAGTATATTAACTCTTCTATGAACATGAGTTGAACTGAGCCTCTGTACTGCTGTGTAGACTAATTTGCTATTATATTCCTTCTTGCTATATATATTAATAAGGGTCCTAATTTTGTTTCTTTAGAGAACCCTGCCTAATGCAGAAGGATAGATAGCTGGATAGGTATATGATGAAGCAAGTAGAATAAAATTGTAAAGGTGCAGCCTAGGTGGTAGGTATATGGGTGTTTATTGTAAAAAAACCCCACAAAAACCTCTTACCTTTCTTGTGATCTGGGAAGAGGAAGGTTAGCTACCATTGCTTTGCCTTGGGCGCCCTCTTATGAATCACAGTTCTACTTTGACGCTTCGAAGGTTGCCAGGATTCTGCATTGACCTAATTAACACAAGTGTCCAAAGTGGGATCTGTATGAGGTCACCCTAATGGTATGATTTCAGGAGGAGTTTATTCAAAAGGACCACCTGGGTGAACTCTTGCACCTGTGCCACTCTCCCAGACCTCTGATTCTTGGGACTTGAGTTGCAATATCAGCAGACCGGATTTTTCCAGCTTCTGCAGCTTTGGGGATGAGGAGGATCTTCCAGACAGAAGTCTGAATTTTGGATTTGGGACTTATCAGCACCCACACCCAGGTGAGCCTTTTCCCATCACATGTGAGTGCTGAGACCAGGCCTCAGATGCAAACAATTCACATGATGCAACCTATTGATGTATATGGCTACTCACCATGAGTTTGGCGGTTTGAATCCACCCAGAGGGGTCTCAGAAGAAAGGCCTGGTGGTTTACTTTTAAAACATTAGCTGTTGCAAACATTTCAGAACACAGCCCTCCTGTGACCCTCATGAGTTACTAAATGGCAGTTTTCTATTTTTTATTCACCCTAATGTTTCCCCCGCAGGCATATAACTAATGCTCCACACCCTATTTTCCTCATGCTTATAAAACAAAACAAAACTCACTGTCATTGAGTCAATTCTGATGCATAGCAACTTTACAGGACAGGGCACAGCTGCCCTTGTGGGTTTCCAAGACATCAATTGTTTACAGGAGTAGAAAGCCTCATCTGTCTCCCACTGAGTGGGTGTTGGTGTTTTGTTTTTAAAAATAAGCTATTTTATTGAGGGAGATAAGTTACTCAGCGTTAGCTGGTTGTAGACGGGGAAGGTGACACGCTAGAAGTGTGTTGGCAGGAGGCGGATCACTGCTACTAAAGGTCCCACTTGACAATTACAGAGTCCTGGGCTCCCCTACTTCTTCAAGTACAAACGTAGGTCATATTTTCCAGTCACAGGATCGTGGAGACCAAATAAACCAGATTCTCAACCAAGAGTCTTGAGGTTTTCGCTCAGTCAAGGCTTCAGGGGAAAATGTACTTCATTTCCCAGTCTCCTCTGGGGGATTCAAGAGTTTCGTTTGCATCAAATCACCATGCTCCCTGCTCCTGGACCTCTCTTCTGCATAATTTCTGTGGCATTCCTTTAGCAAGTTAATCAAGGCGTTGCATTCTTCAGTGCGCAGGTGTGGAGACAAGTCAGGATGCATCTTTAGAAAATGAAGGGTCACAGCATAGCAATTGGCTCACTGCCACCCCCGGAGGCCTGGAGCGGTGTCCCTCGGAGGCGCCCCGACAAAGAGGCCCATGAGGCAAGAGCTGGTGTTGGTTTTGAACTACTGACCTTGCAGTTGGCAGCCTGATGTGTAACCCATAACACAAAAGTGATGCCTTCAGGAGACCTTCTCAGTCATTTTCTCCCTGAGGAGGGGGCGGGGGAGGAATCCGTTTACTGAATGCAGCCTTGAGAATATGCCTTAAAAGGTTGAAGGTGGAGGAAACCAAGAGGGGAAGTGGCCCTGGAGGAGGCGAAGTGACATAGGCAAGTCCACGTAGGTAGAAGGGGACACCTCACAGTGCACCAGGTGCAGGACTCACATCTGAACCTGTGCTCAGGCGTGGCTGGTTGTCATCTCTTCTATGTGAGTTTCTCCCTCGAAATGTTAGGACTTGCCATTGTCTGAGAGCAGAGACTCTACTGTAGTGTTTGTTACAGAGTTAAGCACATCCTTCTGTTGTTAGGTGCTGTGTAGTCAGTTCCAATTTATAGTGACCCTGCACAACAGAATGAAACTCTATCTGCTCCTTCACCATCCTCACAATTGTTATGTTTGAGCCGGTGCTGCAGCCACTGCGCCAATCCATCTTGCTGAGGTGCTCTCCCCTTACTGCTGACCTTTGATCAAACATGATGTCCTTTTTGATGACATGTCCAAAGTACAAGAGACAAAACCTCACCATCCTTGGCTCTAAGAAGCCCTCTGGCTGTACTTCTTCCCAGACAGAATTGTTTGTTCTTAAAGTCCATGGTATATTCAATAGTCTTTGCAATCATGATCATTGAAAAACATCAATTCTCTGGACTTGCTCATTGTTTATCGATTATATACAGGCCATTGGAAGCAGGAGAGGACGTTCCCTTGAGGACTAAGGTGTACCTGACCCAAGCCACTGATTTAAGCACATGGTAGTTGCTTCAAAGCAAAACTTAGAGATTAACTGAACCTTCTTGAAATGATAATGATGACTCTTATTTTGGTGTTGTAACATGTTGTTACTGTACGGTTGTTAGAAGGGAACATTCATGACTTTTGTAGATCACACACCCTCCTATTAGGCCTTCCGAGTAAGGTCCATGCACTTGACGACAGCAGCAGCAGCAGGTGAGCTCCAAAACTTGTGACCTGGCTCCTGGGATGAGTGACATGCCCCCAAACGAGGGAACAGTCTAGCTGAGTTCTACACACTTTGAAGGGAAAGTTGGGGAGCATGTGTGAGAACCTACGAGGATGTCTTGTGGTTCCGGAAAAGGAAAGGACAAGGTGAGTTAAGATGACCCAGAACAATCCCAGGGTTAAGAAAAACGTTGCAAAGTTAAAAAGTGACTCTTCTTTTTCAGAAGTGATTTTTCTAAACATGTTCCCCTGCTCCGATGGGCCTGCCCACCATCTTACACACTTTGATTTTTAAAACTCTTCAACTATAATTTGAATTTGATCCAGACTGTCAGTGGTAGGGTGACGAGATGAGAGACGGGACGCCCAGTGGCATCGGCATGTGTGGTAGACTATGGAGGAGCCCTGGTAGCACAGTGGTTTACTCACTGGGCTGCTGATGGCATAGTCGGCAGTTTGAAAGCACTGGCTGCGCTGTGGGAGAAAGGTGAGGCTTTCCGCTTCTGTAAAGATCTAGAGTCTCGTAAACCCTCAGGGGCAGCTCTACTCTGGCTTATGGGGTCGCTATGAGTCGGAATTGACTCAATGGCCGTGCGTTGAAATTTAAAATGGATAACGTTTTTTCTTTTTTTAAAATCATTTTATTGGGGGCTCATACAACTCTTATCACAATCCATATATCCATCCATTGTGTCTAGCACATTGGTACATTTGTTGCCATCATCATGCTCAAGACATTTGCTTTCTACTTGAGCCCTTGGTGTCAGCTCCTCATTTTTCCCCTCCCCGTCTGCTCCCCACTCCCTCATGAACCCTTGATAATTTACAAAGTATTATTATTTCTTATATTATTATATCTTACCCACTCCTTTCACCCACTCTTCTGTTGTCCTTCCCCCAGGGAGGGGATTATATTTGGATCCTTGTAATCGGTTTCCCCTTATCTACCCACCTTTCCTCCACCCTCCCGGTATTGCCACTCTCACCACTAGACAGTAGATACCATTTTTAGTACTACCAACAAAATGTGTCCTAAGTAATGCATTGGATTATACTTAAGAAAGTAATCATTGTTTATCTGAAATTCAAACTTGACTGAGATTCTCATATTTTTATTTGCAACCTCTGGCAAGGCTAATCAATGAGTTATAGGATTCATTTTACAGAAATCTACATTACAGCTAAACCCCTTTTAAAAAGAGCCTGTACGTCTCTCAATCTCTCTCTCTCATACACACACACACCAGACCACAAAACTCAGGTTATAATTCTTCTTTTAATATGACTCATGTTACTTTGAGGACTTTCAGGTCAAATTTCGGTTTGCAGTGACAACCCTCATTGACTAGTTTAGTTTTATTTGTGTAACAGTCGAGGTCTCACAGATGATAATGATCTTCGATTTGATCCAAAGCATTAGAAGCCATGTCTCTTATAGTATTTGGCTCGTGCAAGGACATCGTTGCAGAAGTCACAGCCCAGGTCCTGGCTATTTCTGACGTAGCCAACACCTCCATTGTAGGAACACAGTCCACCTGAAATGAAAATGATAATTAACACCGACCTAGCAGCTCCGCTCTGTTTTGGGGTGTTTGACAGTTAACTTAGTCTCTCCTGATTGTCAATGGGGAGACAATTACGGCTTTCAGGAATCTGGTAGGACATGTTATATTTGTCTTTATCCATTCCGCACTGTGAAACAAATGGCCAGTTGGTAGTGTACACACCTCTCAGATACTGGTCTGGGGTCCAGGTTGGAAACTTCCTCTGGATCCCTTTGATCCTAACAGTCAGAGCCTCCGTCATTTCAGCAAGCTGGGACTCGCTGATCCAGGAGGTGGGAGCGTATTGGCCCGAGTCCTGCAAGGAGGGAGTCAGAGGGCAAACTATTGGCAGAGGAGTGTGAATAGCTTTGTATCCCTTTTCTTTTTCTCATCCGCATTTGGAGGAAGGCCACCCTCAGCCGCCCTGGGGATAAATAACAAAGCTACAAGGTTTGGGCACGGAAAGCAACCTGAGGATTGAAGACCCTGAGTGGTACAACCCAGAGGATGGCAGTTCAAGTCCACCCAGAGGTGCCTGGAAAGAAAGGCCTGGAGATGTATGGCCATTGGAAGCCCTGCGGTGCACAGTTCTGCACTGACCCACAGGGGGTGCTGTGACTCAACTTGATGGCACCTGGTTTGCTTTTTCTGCTTTTGTAGTGGAGGGGCGAGAACAGCGAGTCAGTAGGTATTAGCCTATTTCCCTCCTTCAGTGCAGCAAACGAACGTCCTCCAAGCAGGTCAGAAAGGGGCTTTCTATTCACACTTGTCATTTCCTTTCAGGTGATCTGAATGTGTAAAGGTACTTTTAGCCTTCCTTATCTCTCTTTTTGATTAAGGAGTCCAGATGGTTCAATGATTAAGTGTTGGGCTGTTAACCAAATAGGTCAGTGGTTGGAACCCACCAGCCTCTCCATAGAAAGATATTCAGCCATCTGCCTTCAGAAAGGTGACAAAGGAAACCTACAGGGCAGCCCTCTAGGGCCGTTATGAGTCAGCAGAGAATGGACAGCAATGGATTTTTTAAAGTCAAACCCCTCTGGAGGATGGGGGATGGAAGGGAAAAAAGAGGAGCTGATACCAAGGGCTCAAGGAGAAAGAAATGTTTTGGAAATGTTGATGGCAACATATATACAAGCGTGCTTAATACAATTGAATGATAGTTGTTATAAGATTTGTAAAAGCCCCTCCCAATAAAATGATTAATTATAATAATAAGTCAACCCCCTTCGGTTACCACTTCCACATAGATTTCACCCTATTTCGGGAAAGTGTCTGCATGTGTTCTTTACTTCATTGTCAGAGGAGACAGGCTTGTCCATTTCCCAGGAACGAGATTTTAGAAAGGAGGCAGAGTGGAGCAGAGCACACAGTGCTGGATGTACCAGCGCGATTCGGCTCTGGGCCTCCGGTCTGCAGTTCCCGGCTGCCATGAGACTGTGTGGCCGAGACTCCCTCCTTGTGACTCTGTTGCCCCACTTGAAAAGGATGGATTCCCCGCCCCACTTCTTATGAGAGCATTGGGTGGAGCTCCAAATGAGAATAAGATAAGTATTTGAAAGGGTGGGGGGTGGAAGGGGGAAAAAAGAGGAGCTAATACCAAGGGCTCAAGTAGAAAGAAATGTTTTGGAAATGTTGATGGCAACATATATACAAGCGTGTAAAGTGCCATTCAAAGTATTAATGGGAAGCCAATTTAAAGACCATCAGAGGGATAAATAGTCTTAAAAGCTTTTAAAAATTGACTACAATGCTTATTGTTTTCTCAGCAACAACTTTAGGTGATCTTTTACCAAAATATTGCTGCCTTTAGACTAATGGACTAGCAGTCCACGTGAACTACAGTTTGCATGACCCTGAGAACAGAGGAACTAGATGGTGTCTGGCAATCACGACCAACTGCTTGGACAGGGATCCCATTAGGTGGTCCTGGGTAGAGTCGGAGAGAAATGTGGAATGAGACTTGGAATCATAGAAGAGACCAGAGTTACGATGACGCTCCCCACTCAAACAGCAGCAACAAAAGCCCACTGCTGACTCACAGAGCAGCACTGCGCTTCACAAGGTGCTGTTGGCTGGAATATTTGTGAGAACATACTGCCAGGCCTTTCTTTTGGGGTGCCGCTGAGTGGATTCAAACCAGCAAACTTCAGCGCAGTGGTCCAGCGTGCACCATCTGCATCATTCAGGGATGCCTCTCGCATCCCTGGGCGCCCCCCTTCACGCTGTTTCATGGAACTGTGCTCCCGGGCGCCCTCCACCAAAAAGATGAAAACGGTCCGTGGGGATGCTGCCCCCTTGGAGATGTGCCAGGCAGAGGGAACGGTGAGCCGTTACCTGCACCACCCCGATTCCATCGTTCGTGTTCCCCACGTTGAGCAGAATGTTGCCCCCATGTGATTGCCTGGACAAGATAGCGGCGATGACGGCAGGGTCCACGCAGTATTTCCGGCCGACCGTCCGCATGATGGGTTGATATCTCACCAGCAGGGGCATGTCCATTTCAGCCAGCCTTTCAGAAGCTCGGACCCCTACAGCAAACGCAAACCGAACACAGCAAAGGTGTTTGTTTTTCAGATAAATGCAACTTTACGCCCTTGTGTCTGATATGGCTTGATGTGACTGCCTTACACTCCAGGGACCCAGAGGGAGAGGCTTGGGACGGAGAAACTCAAGTTGAAGTTTCAAACCCTGTGGCAAATTGTACAGGTGGTAAAACGTTCTTTTTAAATACCCAGTGGCTACTCCTTGACCTGAGACAACGACTCTTCCCATGAACTTGAATCAGTCTCCCCTGGAGCTGCCCCATAGGGCAGTGCCCCTAGAGTGGGTCTCTCCAGGACAAGTCCCTGGGCACACCTGTCACTGGCCCCATCCTAAGACAAGGCGACACAGTCATGCCTGTTCCTCCGTAACAGTGGGCATGAGATGTGAAGCCGCTGATCTATGGTTTTTCTCTCGACAGGCGTCTCACCCAGAAATCATGCTCAAGATCCTGTATGAGCACACAGCTTTATAAAATCACCCGAATGCTGGCGGGGGTGGGGGTGGGGGACCAATACGTACTAATTTCCCTGACTAGCCACTGGCCTTCTGAGCTCTTTTGTGGTTTCCAAACACTCTCACCCCGTCCCATGGCTCTGAGTTCACAGCTGTCCTACGCGAGCACCAGCGCCTCCTATCAAGGGAGGCTCAGGCTTCTTCCACAAGCAGAGGCAGGACTTGAAGAAGGACCCTGGATACCACATCCAGTGCTCCTCCCTCCAGTGCACAACCTGGCACCATGGGAGACACTGGGAACTTTTAGGATCTGTTGGAAGGATAAAGACTCATGGGGAAGGGTGGGGTGCGATACAAAGGGAAAGACGGAATTGCACTGGACCACCCTGGCTAATAGGCATCTGCTCTCTGAGAGCAGCGTAGAAGCTGGCTGGGAGATTATAAATACCACAGTAGTTGATGCCTCGTTGTCTTCCAACCCCACAAGATGCCCCAGGGGTTTCGAGGGTTCGGATGTTTCCGTAGCATCCCCAATTGCTGCTTTCAGATAGATCTGCAAATGGAGAACATTTCGACAGGAGGCGTTACATTCCAATAGTTTGGACCGTCTTTCTGTCCAGGAATGAAGTGGCATTAATAAAACATCTCTGATTCAAACAAGAACTTCACAATTGAAAGATGATTTATGAGACACTGACAAGGACAATCTTACTTCCTCTCCTGCACCTGTGGGAGCCCTGGTGCCAGAGTGGTTACATGCAGTCTGCTAACTGCAAGGCCAGCAGTTCCTAATTACTAGCCTGCTTGATGGGGAAAGGTGCAGCTTTCTACTCCCCTAAACAGGGTCCCAGGGTCGCTAGGAGTCAGGACTGACTCAATGGCAGTGAGTTTTGGTGTCCAGTACCCGGAAAGGGCTGTTGGAATGGTTGCAGTTCTTAAGAAAACTCGGTGCCTGCCTGAAGCTCTCTGGTTGGTTTCTCGGAATCAAGTCAGAGGTGATCTGTTCCCGACAGCCAGGAGTCCTGGTGTTTGCAGTCGTTATGTGTTTACCTGCCGGCACGAAGGTCAGCGGTTTGAACCCACCAGGTGCTCTGTGGGATTCCTCAGTCGGCTTCCAGAAAAGATGAATCCTGAAAACCCCGGGGAGCAGTACTCCCTGTCAGACAGGGCTGTTCAGGGTCAGAGTCAATTCCATGGCAGTGGGCTTGGTTTTTTTGTTTGTTTGATAAACCAGTCCTTTTCTTACATATTATATACACTCTGAACATTTGTCCCTTAACTACTTCTAACTTGTTGGTCTGCGGAAGGGATTGGTGTCAGCTGCTTTGGGAGGCAGTCCAGGTGGGGCCAAAGCTAGCAGAGAGTGAGACATATAAGCGTTCCCTAAGGCAGGTGAGTCTTGAGACCACGTTTCTACATAGTGGGTCATTCTTTTCCTCCCTTTCTCTCTGCCCTTTCTATCTCTCTCTCTCTTAACCTCCACTGTCATTGTCACTCCAGCCTCCTGGAAGAGCCTTGGAGGGTGAGATCCTTTCAAATAATAGCAACACTGCCGTTGAGTCACTTAAGAGCTCATAGTGCTTCCATATAGCAGTGGTTCTCCACCTTCCTAATGCCCGCGACGCTTTCATACAGTTCCTCAGGTTGGGGTGACCCCAACCATAAAATTATTTTCCTTGCTACTTCCATCACTGTCATTTTGCTACTGTGATGAATTGGGCGACCCCTGTGAAAGGGTTGTTTGACCCCCCAAATGGTCGCAACCCACAGGTTGAGAACCACTGTGTTCGGTTTCCAGGACTGGAACTCTTTAACGGAGCATACCACCTCAACTTTCTCCCTCGGCCGGCCGGCAGGTTTGAATCGCCCTCCTCGTGGTTGGCAGTCCAATGCTTAACCCACAGCGCCACTCTACATAGGCCACTGGAGACAGGGACATGCCCTAGACTTAGAACAGTGTAGCTGGCCTGAGAGCAGTTTAGGAAGGCAGGAAATTATTCCTTGTGGAATCATCTCACCACTATAAACCTGTAAGAATTTTCCATTGGACTAGTCTTATCTATTTTTATTTGACTAAAGTGAATGATAGCATCAAATCACAATGATTTTTAAAGTCTTTAGGAAACAGCTTACTGCATCTCATTGGATAGCTCCTGCGGGCCTGCAAAAATGTATATTTAAGCCTCTCTTGTCTTACCCGAAAAGTCAGTAGGCTCACATCCAAAAGACGGCTATTTTGGAATCAGCGGTTCTACTCTACAAACTTATAATGAGAAATCTGAGAGAAAAGGTAGAAGTAAAATGGTCTGGGCTGGTAGAAGCATGCTGAAAATTAAATGAGTCACTATGTTGTTTTTGTATTCTTTTCATCAGTACACCTTTATCTTTATGATTTATTATTGGTGATAAATATTTTTAATATTATAGTTGGTAGTATCATCCCTTGGGCACTTCTCCCCAGCCATGTTTTATGCTGCATGAATTTCCTTATATCATCCATGCTTAGTACCCACAGGGATTTTAAAATACATTAAAACCCATTAAAGCCAGAAACTGTATAAGGTAACTAACTACTTGTCAGAAGAAGAAAACGCCAACCTTTCCCACTAAAATAGGTGATTAGAAAAAGAAAAGTGGACGGTCTGTACTTTGTCACAGACGGGCCACTTGCTAGGACAGGGAGAGTCAGCAATCCCAGGAGCTCTGTGTCTCACAGTCTTTACTGTATTCGCTGAGTAAATGGGTCAACCAGAAGGGAGTGAACAGAAGAGCCTATCTGAGAAGTTATTAGAATTTAAATCCAGGGGAAAAGTAGCTCTCTAGTCAGGAACTAACCTTCCTTTTGTATTCCTCATTAGCTATGCATTTTCCCTACTGTCCTCCGTGGAGGAACCTTCTTTGTGAATCTAAAGTTTAATCACAGCATCCAGGTCAGCCTGTCTGTCAGCTGAGTCACGGCTCCTTCGTTCCCTGGTCTGAGTGATTAGTCGTATAAAGCCCCTCAGAGCCTTCTGTGGAAATGCATGGTGTATAAATAAATTCAATCAATAAGGTAGCAGAAAGTACTTGCAGTGAAACAATGTATGCGCGGTGAGCAATGGTATATATTTAAAGTTCAGTCGCTAGCAAACTTTCGAAGCCCCCCTGGACGAGAACCCCCTCTTTTGTGGGGCCACAGGGAACATGTTGGTTGTCAGTGGCTGTTATAACTCCAGGATTGGTTGGACAGCTTAGGAGAAAAATAGCGCTTCGCTCTGCGGTTTCAAGCATCAGAAGTGTCATTATGTTCCTTTGCTCATCCCCCCATCTCCAAGGTCATTTGGCAAAAATGAAAGACTCACCAGTCAGGACAAGGAGGCCCAGAAGCAGCCACAAAGCAGACATACTGATGATTGGGCACTGCGGGTCCTGAAATGATTTTAAAATAAGTAAGACTGAAGATGTTTAAATGTCAACACTTGCCATAACCATGCATACCATTGCTAATCATGTAGGGGGGGCAATCAATAAAGAAGAAAGGAATGAAATTTCCCATGTCCGAACGAAGAAATCATTTGACTCATAATAAAAAAAAGCAAAGTAGGTCGTGTGCTTCAACCATTCTCCCCATTAGTTGAGAAATAACCAACTCGTATTTGCCTGCCAACACTCAAGGAACCATCCAGTTGTTGTAACAGCTGTCCAGAAGTCCTGACTGCGCGCGAGAGGATTTGACTGCTTTGATCTATGGGGTTTTCATCGAGTGGTTTGGCGGAAATGAGTCTTCTTCTTCGTCTGGCATTTCTGCTGAAATCCGTTGAGTATCTTCACAGCAACACACGAGTCCCCACTGACAGAATAAGATGCTCTGGCGGAGAAACGAATCTGCTTCTCCCGTGTGGAAGGTGAGACATCTACCCTTGAACCTCATCACCAATTGACTGGATGCGAATTGTGTGAAGTGGAGGGGCAGTGAACTAGAGGGAAGGACTCAACCAGATGGACTGACACAGTGGCTGCCACGGTGGGTTCCAGTATAGCAATTGTGAGGTGGCACCGGACTGGGCAGTGTTTAGTTCTGTGGCACATGGGAAGCCAAGGTGTTCCTGTTTTCAACACCGAGAAACATAAATGACTCAAATCCAGACCCTGAACAGCAACTGCTTGAGGCCTATGCTTCCCCCAATAACTTTTTCCAGGAGTCCTGGTGCGGATCCTAAACACACTGTCGGCAGGTCGAAACCACTAGCTGCTCTGAGAGAGAAAGATGAGGCTTTCTACTCCCGTAAAGAGTTACCGTCTTGGAAAGGCACATGGGCAGTTCTATGATATCCTATAGCAGTGGTTCTCAACCTTCCTCATGCCGCGACCCTTTAATGCAGTTCCTCATGTTGTGCTGACCCCCCAACAATAACATTTATCTTCATTGCTACTTCCCCACTGTCATTTTGCTATTGTTATTAATTTGGCGACCCCTGTGAAAGGGTCGTTGGACCCCCAAAGGGGTCGCCACCCACAGGTTGAGAACCGCTGTCCTGTAGGGTTGCTATGAGTCAGAATCAATTCAATCACAGTAAGTTTGCTAGTCTTCTCATCAAAAAATGTTATGGACAGGAGAATTTTTATTAGTGATATTCTCTGAATCGGGTTCTTTTTTCTTCTCCTTAAAGAAGCAGCTATAATGAAATGGCTAGCCTGCAAACTTTCATAGGTGGGGGGATATATTCATAGGATTTTAGGATTAAGGTGTAGGTATTCACCTAACTGCAGCTGTTAGACATAGAATATCATTGTTTTATTCACTTATAGAATATTATGTTTAAATGAGGCTGGCACGGATTAAATTGTATGCATTTTAGTTTTATCCTGTTATGTACAGATATGATTTTATTATTCTTTTGTTTAGAAATTATATATGGCTAAAGAGTTGTGTAAAAGTGGCAAGTTGACAATAGATGGTCTGTGGCAGTTACATAATCCTGTCAATTTGATTGAAGGGGTGGAGTCTAGCCTGTCAATCTGGTCATTGCCAATGAGGCCTCTGTGTGGGCATGGCCTTCTCCTGAGGATTCTGGGAGCTCCTGTCTTCCTCCCTGGAGGCAGAGCACACACCTCTCTCTTTGCTTTGTCTTCCTGCTGACAAGCCACATGGAGGTACACTGATGGAGCCAGAGCCCTGGAGCTGGAGGAGCCACATGGAGACTCATGCCAGTGCTGAAATGCTTCCACCGCCACTGGATCTACAAGACTTTCCACCCACTGGCCTGTGATCTTCCTGCATTCAGCCTTATTTCATGGCTGCATGAGTCTAAAAAGGAATTTATGGACTAGTATTGGACATATGGGCTAATATCGGACTTATGGACTTGATCCGGACTAGAATGGGATGTTTTCTTACAATATACAATTGCTCCTGGATATAAAGCAATATACACTTGCTCCTTGATATAAAGTTCTCTGTTACACATGCAAACATAAAAATAAAGAAGCAGCTATATTTTTCTTAGTGTCTTGGATCATGTGTTAAATACTAGCTTCTGATAGAGGAAGAAAGACTTGGAAGACATTCTCCCACCGAACTCCAGGTTTGGGAATCGGCAAAGCTCCTGAGTCATGTCCCCCACGATCCCTCTGTAAGAATCTTGTGCACGAACAAGTTGAAGCCAGAGCCCGAAGAATGGAGAGAGAGGCTACTTCCACCTGCAAAGCCATGAAGTCAGACCACAAGCAGGGGTCCTGAGCGGATGGGAGAACTGTCGGCTGGCCCCACCACCCACTCGCTAAAGCACTCTCTCTCACATGTCCTCTCTTGCTCAGCCAATCATTCCTGGATCCAACTTCCACCTGTACCATCCGCCCGTCTCCCTCTCCAGCCATCAAACTAGCACCCAATTGTCACCCAAAGTAGCTGCACTTGCTGGAGGAGTTGTCCCCTGTTCCCAAATCCCTCACTGCTGACTAACCTCTCCCTTTATAGGGTGTATTCCATTACCTCCCTCTCAGCCGAGCTTGGCTCCCTGTCATTTCAAATTATTACTATCATGATATGTATGGCCATGCATATACATATGGCACTTGCCTCTTTCAAAGTGCTTTTCTCATCTCTTTTGTTTTAAGGTTCTTTGTGAGTGATCCCTCCCAAACACCCAGAAAGAGATTAAGTCTCAAAATGAAAGGGCATTAAGGAAGTTATTTGAATGACGCCTTTTGAAATGGAGGGTGTGTACATCCCTCAGACAAAGTCGTTTGTTTGTTTGTTTGTCTTGCAGGGTGGTGTCTTTCTTTTCTACTTCAAAGGAGCCTGGTGGAGAAGCACTCGGCTGCTCATTGAAAGGTTGACATATGCAAACTTACCAGCTGCTCCATTGGAGAAAAGTTCTGGCAATCTGCTCCTGTCAAAATTATAGCTTAGGAACCCAACGGGGGCTGTTGTACTTTGCCCTATGGGGTCACTGAGTCAAAATCAACTTGATGAAAATACATTGCCTGTTATATTAAGGCTTGTCTGATTTCCCTTCCAAACAAACTTATTGCCATCAATGCACTCATAGTGAACCTCTAAGACAGGGTAGAACTTTCCTTTTGGGTTTCAGAGATTGCAACTTTTTTTCAAGAGTAGAAAGTCTCATCTTTTCCCGCAGAGCAGCTGGTGGTTTCGAACTGCTGACTTTGTGTTTAGCAGCTCAATGCATGACCTACGGCACCACCAGGGCTCCTCAGGGTTTCCTTTGGTTGATTTCTGATTTCCCGTAGTTGAACACAAAATGCCAGGCTCAGTCCCAATCCCAGAAATATAAACAAACTTGGAATGTCAGCGGGGTTTTCAAGAACTGATTCAATGGCCCAAGAGGAATCGTTTATTCAGCACCCACTGAGGCCCCTGCACTGAAGGAAGAGGGACAATCAGTCCGAGGAAAAGAACCAAGGAAGAGCTGCTTTGATACAAGACAAGCTCAGGATGCCAGCTTCTCACTGGCATTATGGAAAAGGTCTTGCAGCAAAACAAACAATGACTTGCCTTCAACTGTGTATCCCAGTGTACTTCACCCTGGCTGCCTGTCTCAGGGAACCAAGCTACTTCTTGGAAACCCAAGTGGCAGAACTTAGCGTTTACTGCTACATCACCTTGTTTGCCAAGCATAGAACTAAGTATCTGGGTTGGGTCAGCAGTTGCATGAAAAGACTCTATGAAAGTACATGTGGCAATGACATGAGAACACAGAGTTTCTTTCTATTTGCTCCTCAGATCTCACTTTCAAATCCCCCCTGCCTCCATTACATCAGGGAAGAGCAAGAGGGGACAATGGACACACACAGTATGCTGAAGCAACCCACACTTCATGGCCCAATTTTACAGGGGCCAACAAGCTCTCTCTGTTTAAGAGGAACTGTGGAGGCATCGCTGGGGAGTTCTGGGGAGTGTCCACCATCTACTATGACTAATCTGCTCCTGCCCTGGGGTTTCCTGCACTTCAAAGCGGCATTAAAGCTTCAGGCAGAAATAACACGATGGTCGATGGTCACGATGCCAAGCACAATGTCTATGGTGACCTCCCCATTCTCCTGGAAAGCCCAACAATAATAAACAGCATGAGGGTGTGAACCTCCTGTGTACCAGGCAGGCAGTCACTCTGAAACCCACCACCTGCTCAAGTCCCCAGTGACTTCCAGGAGGACCTTTTACATACCCACTCTCCCTCCACAGTACATTTCAAAACCTCATTTAGACTTGGAAGGTGTAATAAACCATTTATCCCTTTTTTCCCTAGAAAAGGTCGAAATGAAAGTCTTGATAGTTCTTTCACTGTAGAACTCCCATTCCTTTTCCATGAATATTCTCCCAAACCTTCACCGTAACCTCATACAATAGCTACCCCAGGTCTTTGGGGCCCTCCAATCTGCTGGGAAGATGCACTGTATTAACCATGCTGACATGCTGGGAGATGAAGGTGGTCCTAACACACATCACCCCCCACCCCCAGACTTCAAATCCATTCATGGAAGAAGGGAACCTGGCATGAACTCCCACTCTAAGTAGCATCGCTGCTCTTGTTTTATTGCTACCACCATGTCCTGTTTGCTTTCTGATCACACCCTAATCACAAATCCTATCATGCGGCCACTAGTCTTCATCCTTCTGCACATAGCAACACCCTAGGCCAGTATCTAGCAGAATGCGATGTACCAATGGGCCCTAAATTAAAATAAAAACAAACACCATCACAAATTTTAAAATGCTTTCTCAAAGCAAATCTTACATTTTCGGGGAAAATGGAAAGTGTGGAGGCTCATTTTAAGCCATCCCTTTTTTGTTGTAGTGGTCTTTTCCCACAGGGTTTGTGAAAAAATATACTTACTCTGTTTGGATTGGGAGCAACCAGAACTGGCCCTAAAGTTCCCAGGAC